TAAAACGAGATATATGATAGGCTCACGGACCCTCAAATCTTAGATTTGAAAAAACTCAATCCAAAAAAATAGAGTAATACCTCAAATAAAATACAAAATATTCTACGGAGTACCATTGTAGCATTTTTGCAAAACACGTCTTCGTTTGCCATAAATTAAAATGAGACTTTTTGGCTAAAATAGTCACAAAAAGATAAAATAGACTTTTTAATCCAATGAGACAAAATGTCATATCCAAACCATAATCATTTCATTTTTTCTCTCACAAAAGTCAAAAAAGTCAAAAAACTTATCCTAAACAAGGCTTTTTAGCCCTAGATTAAAATAACCAAAAAATTAAAATGCCAAAAAATTAACCCACATCTCGAACGAACCCTATGAAAGGAGACCTAGCTATCAGGTAAAATTATTTGGTTGTCTAAAAACTTCACCTAGTAATACTTTCACCCATTATTAAATACTGTATTCCTTATTATTCCTCATAATCTAATACAAAGGCAATTTTAAAGATATGGTTAAAAGTTAATTTTTTGATTTTTTAAAAAAAATTTAAAATATATATGTATATATATATATATATATATAATTTAAGAGTTGACATGACCCAAACTAACTTAAAAGTTGACTTTTGATTAAAAGCTGACTTTTGATTTTTTTTTTTTTTTTTCTTTCTTCCAAAAAAGCCAAAAATTATTAGGTGTGTTTGGTTTTTGAGATAAATTTTTTATAAAAAGAATTGGGGAGGGAGTTTAGAATTTTTTTAATTTGTTTGGTTGCATATTTTAAAAATAGTTTTGAAATTTGAGAGTTTGAAATAATTTGATATTTTATTATAATTAAGTAAATATGTGTGAGAGAAAAAATAATTGAGAAAGAGAAAAAATAGAGAAAAAGTGATTCATTGATATGTAATAGAGAGAGAAATAATTTTAATTTTTTTTATAAAAAAATTATTACCAAACATATTTTTAAAAAATTTCTTCCAAAAACATATTTGAAAACACAAATCAAATACACCCATTAACTCCACCGAAAACGATAATCTAGTGGTTACAGCAACAGCTTGAGATCAATCTGAACATTAATTACAAAAAATATTATAAACCCCACCCTGTCACCAATCACCAATCACACGACTAACATCTCCAACAACCGTGGCGCTGTAGCTCATTATTGCGTACTCGGAAGATAATGTGCCTATTTGGTGCAGCTTAAAAGCTGCTTATTTCAGCTTTCAGTTTAATTTAAACTATTTTAATGTGTTTGGTTTAGCTTAACAATGCAGCTTATAGCTTTTTGTAAGTCAGAAATCAGCTTATTCTTTAAGTGAGGCAGGAGATGCTTAATTTATAAGTCAGAAATCAACTTATATTCATAGTTATAAGCTATATGCTGTTAAGGCATAAGCCATAAGTACTTTCCCACAGCTCTACCAAACAGGGCCAGTGTCTGGTAGGTAGGTAGTGGGATAATTCTATTTTCACACACCAAAACATCTCATTTCACATCCTCTCTCAATATACATATCAATTAATTTTAAATTTTGTAACTTTACTCAATGGACAACGAACTAGATAGAAAGCAAAACCCACATTACCATTGAAAACAATAATTATGTACAAAACCCAGTTCTATAATCAGAACCAGCAAGAATGTATATATATGTATTATTATATGCAATAGGGGTCAAATTTGGATCTGAACCATCAAAATGCAAGAAAAACCCATGTGTAATCCCCTGCCAATCATGCGATTAACGGCATTGTTGCCACCTCTACCTACTCTGACGACCCTGATCTTGGCCACGTCCATTGGAGTAAACGAGCTACTACAAGTACAGTAATGCTTCAAGGGGCTTCGACGACGAGCCTGGAAGGAGAAACATGTTCTTGAGATGAATGGATGGAAGGTTTTGTGGTTAAACCCACTGAAAATTGAGGAGGAAGAAGAAGAAGAACACATTATTAACTTAGCTGGGTTTGTGAGTTGACAGGTAGCCATTTGTGCCACTGTTTGGTTTCCAAGAAAATGAGGACAGAGAGTGGGAATGAGAATTTGTTTTCTCTACTGAGAGAGTGAGAGAGAGAGAGAGAGTAATCGGAGGTCTAAGGTTTTAGAATTTGACGGCTTCGAAAATTTTTTCGCAAAAACTTTAAAAGGTCTTAGCGGTGGCCAGTGATTGGAAGAAGGTGGAGATGGTAGCGGCGGAGTTAGCGGTGGTGGAGGTGATGATCTAGGGGACAAAAGAGGAGGAGGAATGGAAGATCCAATGTCAACAATGGTGAATCCATTCAACAATGATCAAAGTGTGTGCACAGAGGAGATGAAGAAATTAGGATTTTGGTGGAGAAGATAAGAACACTTTAATAATTTTATCTTAGGACAAAATTGTAATAAAAAAATAAATCATTAAGTGTGTGCACAGAGATAAGTGAGTGTGTGGAAATAAAATTCCCCGTAGGTAGTGGGCTTTTCTTATGTGTTCCTCGTCATAATTATCTCTATTCTTCTATCTATATATTTGCACAATCAGCAACATACCGAAAAAACAAAGCAACACGTCATATACCAAAGAAGCTCTTTCCTTTACTAGTTGTTTTCTTGAGAGGTAAAGCCCCTACTTCTTTGTGGCTATGGGGCAATTTAGGAAGATTGGTTTTTTAGTTTTTTAGTTTTTTTTAAATGATATCACTTCTATATTTTTTTACATAAAAAAGTCAAAAAATCAACCTTTTATTATCTTCTCAAAACACCACTGTATATATATATATATATATAGGGTTAATTTTAAATTTATCCCCTACATTGTCTCATCATTTTTTCCACTTTACCCATAAATTATTCAAAAATACTTGGGACCCCCAAGGTTCGGGACTCCTATGACCTCAAAATGATATGGACCAATAATGTGTTTTTGTTTTTTTTTATTTTTTTTTCTTTCGTTCTTAGATCAATCATAAGTGAGTGGGAGTTGTAGGGGTTATGTTTTTTGAGGGTATGTAGTATTGTTGTAAATTATTAATTGCATCTATTTATAGATCGTGGCATTACATTTTGTTGCGTAAAATCTCGAGTTCAAATCCAATGGGAACAAAAATAATAATAAAAACATTTGATACTTTTGTGATTGTGTGTGATTGTTGGACTTTAGTAACAAGGTAAGAAGTAAATGTCAGATGTGATGACAAATAATTTTTTGGTAATGATACATCCCACTAAAAGTGGTGCTCTAAAGCACCACTAATGAGTTGACAAGCACTTTAAATAAATAAATAAGCATCTATTTATAGATCGTGGCACTACATTTTGTTGTGTAAAATCTCGAGTTCAAATCCAATGGGAACAAAAATAATAATAAAAACATTTGATACTTTTGTGATTGTGTGTGATTGTTGGACTTTAGTAACAAGGTAAGAAGTAAATGTCAGATGTGATGACAAATAATTTTTTGGTAATGATACATCCCACTAAAAGTGGTGCTCTAAAGCACCACTAATGAGTTGACAAGCACTTTAAATAAATAAATAAATAAATAAATAAAAAAACAAGACACTCCACTGCCACATCACTAGTGGTGCTTTTAGAGCACCACTTTTAGTGGTCTCAAGTATTATTGATAATTTTTTTATATTTATTGCATGTCATATATTTGAATATTATATGTTTATTCTACATTGAATAATATTTTTATTTAATTTATCAACTTTAAGTATGCTATTCTCCTGAAAAATTATAAAAATAGAAATAAAAAGGTGAAATCACTGCCTTAGCAGTCCGACAAAAAAATATATGTATATTACACTTCCTCAATTGTATCCGACACTGTGTCAAACATCAATACATCATCTCCAGAGAGGTATCCATGCTTCGTTGCCTAAAGTGATGTTGCTTGAGAGTCTTTCAAAAAGAAGTTACCATAATTATATCAAATTTTCGAAAACAAAAGTAAATTGTTTTCAAAACTTGGTTGTATGATTTATGTCAGTAAATTGTTTTTGGAAAATACAATAGAACTATCCTATTTTTCACCTTTTATATCAATAAATTGATATTGTAGTTCCTATCTTCTTTTTCTTAAATCGTAGTATGTGTTCACCGCCCCTATATTAAAATCCCAGATCCATCATTGCTTGCAGGAGAGTACATGGCTTCTTTAGTAACTGCCGAAGCTTGTGATTCAAATGCAGGGCTTCTTTTAAGTGGCGACCTCCGTTGTCTGCAGCCAATCTTCCAAATATATGGTCAGCGTCGTGCATTCTCAGGTCCAATCGTGACCCTCAAAGTATTCGAACACAACGTGTCAGTCAGAGAGCTTCTTGAAACCAAAGGCGAAGGCAGAGTTCTAGTCATAGACGGTGGAGGAAGCAAAAGATGCGCCTTGTTGGGAGGGAATTTAGCACAGTTGGCTCAGAACATGGGGTGGGCTGGCATTGTAATCAATGGTTGCATTAGAGATGTTGATGAGATCAACAACTGTGATATTGGGGTTAGAGCTTTGGCATCACATCCCCAGAAACCGAATAAGACGGGTTACCGAAAAGCATCTGACCAGTCATTTTGCTGGGAAATTGATCCGTGACGGTGAATGGTTGTATGCAGATAGTGATGGGATTCTTGTCTCAAAAACTGAGTTGTCTGTTTGAATCTGCAGGAAATTAAGCTGCTGTTGTTGGAGAGTTGAAATTATTCGTGTGATGTAATAAGAGTACTATGAATGCAAAGATCAATTGATTTAGTAAGTCAGATTGTTCACTTCTGTTCTCCTGCATGAAATGAACAGACATTTTTATCATGATAAAAATCCAGTTTCTTCTTCTTCACTAATATATGATGCATGTCCTCCTAAGGGATGTTTGGTTTACTCAAATGTTTGGTGATCTAGATCAAGTTGATCTGGCAAAGGAGAATTTTTTTAACTGTAACAACATTACAATAATGCCCAGAAACTAAAATTAACAAGCAGCACTGTTAGGCATCATTTGCTAAATTGTGCGCGCACAGGCATAAAAAGCACCAGCAATCAATGCATTTTCTACAATGAAAAATGATACAATAAGCAATTTGAAAAATGAAAGTGCCTGTAGTTAACAGCATATATGCCCATTCAAAATCATTTTTTAAACCCCCAACAAAAAATAAAAAAATAAAAAAAAAAACAGAACAGAAGAAGACAACATGCCAAATGGAAAAACAAAACTCTTCACAACCCTATTTTGCCATGCCTTCTAAGGTCTAAAGCTATATGATTCCTGAACTTCCTATGTGCTATGCAGACAAAATGATCCATATCAAGTAAGCAGGTGGACTGACAATAGTGAGCAGCTTTCAGAAAAACGCGGTTCGTCCTCCCCTTCTACTATGCTTGTCGTATGCAGTGTTGAATTTGTCAACCAACTCATTCATTGTACTGCCAAAACAAAATAAGTGCAATGACAAATGAAATATCTAATGGCTGCAAGTCAAAATAACATCCATCACTTAAAAGAAAAAATAAATTGATTACTGGATGCAAGACTATACCAATCATAAAAGGATGGATTTAGTTTTTCTTTTCTTTTCTTTGTTTTTCTTCTTTGATAAATAAAAGGACTTGATTTGGGTTTTGCCAACTGAATCTGATAGACACAAAATATTATTAAAAGAAAGGGTGCTCGTGTCTTGCATTATTGGGACGTCAAAAACAAAAAATAAAAGATTATGCCAGGAACATCCAATAGCACTTACCACATTCAAAAGGTTTTGATTGAGATAAATGGGGAAAAACAATACATTAAGACATATTTCATACATTTGATTTACAAATGGTGTATTGAAGATCACGGTTAGTACAATACAAGGTGGCAGAAGAATGGTAGATTATACATTCAAGTTCAACGTGAATTTCTTTTAGAGTACGTTGAAAAAATGGGCACAGAAACAAGATAATGCGAAAAATACGAATTTAAATGCGTATTTGTTAGTTTTATAAAACGTGCTTTTGACAAACAACCAAATAAAAGTTCTACATAAGCAAATTCATGTTTTTCTTTGTTTATTCTTCCAATATTTGACAAGGGTGGGTTAATTTATTTATTTAGATTTCCTATTTCATATCTCAACTATTAATATAAAATTTTTGATAAGTTTGCTTGTCATTTAACCAAATAAATTTATTGGAAAATATCACAAAAACAATACACACAAACATATCACATGATACCTGTAAGTAGTAACGAGCTATACAAGTATTTTCTACAATTAATAAGGTTGAATGAGTTTGATTGTCATTAATTATATTAGGGTTATTTACATGGAGACCCCCTAAACAATTGAAAAGTATCACTTTGAGCCTTGAACTATAAAAGCATACAAATGGACCCCTTAAACTATTGAGAAGTATTGCTTTGCCCCTACACTATAAAAGCATACAAATGGACCCCTAAACTATTGTCGTGTTTCACTTTGACCCCTTCTATTAGGGGGTCCAATTGGAACATTTTCATAGTTTAGGAGATCTATTTGTTCGTTTTTATAGTTTAAGGGATAAAGTGATAATTCTCAATAGTTTAGGTAGGAGATCTTTGTGTAAATAACCCATTATAGTAATATAATTATATATTACGTATGAATCCATTATTGTGGAAATTATATTAGATGTAATATCATTACTTTTTATTTGAATGAGTTTGTTTCATTAAGTATACAAGAAACATCTAATAGATGTCCTGTTCAACTCAACAAAATCAAGTATTTTTTGTTAGGTTTAAAATATATACAGAAAATGAGTCTTTCATTTATGTGTATGTACGCATATTACGAAAGAATACTATGAGTATTTACTAATTAGGCTGAAAATGGTGCTCCCTAACATTTCAAGTTTACAGGTTTTTTCCAAAAAAATCCTGCAGCCCTTGCTAGATGTACTCTAATCAATCTTAGAAGCACTATACCCACATATTCTGACAGTCGTCTTTGCTATAAAATAAACCAGCCTAAGCTTTGTTCCTCATGCCACCCAACTCAAAACTCAAAAAATAAAAAACACACAAAAACCACACACACGGAAAAGAAAAACAAGTAATTGGCACTGAAGTATTTTAATTTCCTTTTTCTTTTATCAAGCACTGAGTTTGATACTGATAAAAATGAACTCCATGCAAGAGAGCAGAATTCAAACCTCGAGCAGTTGGTAAACATGGCCAGGTAACTAATCAATAATGTGTCGTTGTATTCCTGCAAACAGAAGTGATGGGATCAAACATATGATCAGACAATACCTCTAAATGACAAATACGGTAAATCATATTAAAAATAACCTAATAAATTCCCCACCCTCCCTCTCTCCTCCACCCAAATACAATTAAAAATAAATAAACTTAAAGAAAACCAATTCCATCTGCAGAGTTCTCTAGCCATTTGGAAGAGGATAAACTAACTAAACCAAACACATAAAAATGATTAGTTAATGCAGTAAAGAAATAATAACTTTTTACTGGCCAAGGACTTGAAAGCACTGACCATCAAGAAATCATCTTGAAATTTCTCTGATTCAATGGCTGGTAATCTCCTCAATAGACTAGAAACTTGTCTAAGCAATGAATTTTCACAAGGAATGTCACCTGCATTTGAAAGACAGATATTATCAATTCTGGCCCTTCTCCCACAACATCACCCACTTCACGTGTTTACTAACTTCATGAACAAAGTAAACATGCATGCTTTCAAACCAAGCGCTCATATGGACCTTCTTAGAACTTAAGTTTCTAGTTTACAGTTGCCTTTTCATATTTTTAGCTCAGTTATTTTCTTTTTCACAGAAATCCATTTCCTAGCTTGATGAACAAAGTAAACATGTATGGCTGTATGCATTCTAACCAAGTGCTCATATCATTACTCAGAGAAGAGGCGGCTTTAATACTATCTCAAATATGGAGGTGAACTCTCTAGGAGGCTCGCTAAACATATCATAAGATGCTCTAGATGTTTGTAAAGCATTAATTTGTTTCAAGCTGCCCAACATAACAACCAACTCAATAGTATTTGCAAGTTTGGAGGAATTTTTATTTTTTTTAAATGGGAAACCACTGCCTTCTTAGAACTTAACTTTCTAGTTTACAGTGGACTTTTCATATTTTTGTTGCTCAAGTTTGTCTTGGTCACCACCTCCTTTCTAAAGAAGTTTGTTTCTCAAATACTTGTACCTTTCTGCATAGCGAGAAGATAGTGGTGAAGCACTCTGATTCTACTATTAAGCATCTTGATGGCACTGTGTATACCCGTAAGGTGAGCAGCCACTACAGAAGAAACACAAGTTTGTCAGTCCTCCACACTTCCGTTTCAGAAGAAAAAACTTTTACGAAAAAAAAGGGGGGCAAGTACTCACATTGAGTTGCAGCAGAACCTCCATCAGATGGTTTAAGGTGGGCAACATGGTCAACTGAGATCCGTTCGGCTTCTACGGTCTTTGAAGCAACACGAAAATGATTAATCACTCCATTTTGTAACATTTGCGTGAAATGAATGATATAACAAAGAAACAAGACAAACCTCAATAGTGTAGCTAGAACGAACAAAAATAAGCTGTGGAATCCCATCTATGACATGCAGCTCTAGAATTGCATTGATTAGTCCCCACAATAACAGAAAGTGTTAGGGCATCCATAACAGTAGCAAAAAAAAAAAAACAACGCCCAATTAATACACATATGAAGTAATGATGCTACGACGCCTAAAATAGCCATGTGATAAATAATTTTGCCAAATGTGATTCAAAAAACATAGTCTGCAAAAAAAACCATTACATCCTTTAACAAGGTGGCCAACTTAGAAAGCCGTGTCTAAGGTCTCTACAAACTATTTGACTATTTAGGAAGAGTTCAGAACTTAGATAAATAATATTTGTGCTAGAATAAACAGACATGCTAGATAAGTCAACCAATATCCTATTGTCAGTATACTCACTAATATCACTTTGACAAGTCACGTGATACCATTATTAGGGTATAAATGTCAAGAAATTTTGAATGGTTCTAGCATCTGCAAGACTGCAACAATCACTGCTTGCTTGTCATAATGTTGCGTATTTTTACTTCAGAAACAATACTAACAAACAGCTAACTTCCTACTGTACGACTAAAAGAGCAATCATGAGTCTCCTGACAGCAGTGGCAACAAAATAAGTCACTTGACAATGCACTAAATAGTGTGGGGATGGAAAGGACCTAATCGGAGTTTCTAAGAAGAGACAGTGAGCTTAAGCTAGCTGAAAATGCAGATTCTAAAGGGTAAAACATGATGTGTGCTGCCAAATGTGGTGGATTACAACATACAACACCATTCTTCATTGATAAGCCATGCTATCAATATAGGAGGTGTTCAAGAAAATATTACAAATACATATCTAATAAATAAATAATGAGATGCAAGGTATAGGTATCACTCCCTATATATCTACAGTGATGTACAATTCCTCAAAAAAAGTCCCCCCCTAAAAAAAGAGAAAAGGGTAATATATAACAATATAAGGTAATAATGCAGGTTACATACCACTTTCATAGATAGTCACTGGAAGATCCTTCTGTGCATGATTGATTGAAGGATTGAGAAGAACATAAACAGGGCTTTCATTAATATCCATCAACTGTCACGGAAAAGGCATTCATCATAATCATAATGATTTGGCAAACATTCTTAGCACAAAGCAGTTTCAATGAATCTCATGCTTAAGAACATGCAAAAAGAAATATTTAGTAAACCATGTACGAGATCATGGGTACTTCAAAAAACATGTCATACCCGTATCGGGTACTTACCGGCGTATAGGACCTCGTGTGGTACTTCTGCATACGTACCGGGTACACAAAACACGTACCCAAATTTTTTCTTCTTAATTTTTGGCATACCCAGACGTACCTACTATATATCCAACCTGTATCCCTCCCGCATTGTTATGCGTCACACTCAATTTGCATTGTTTTGCATCCCTTTCGCATTGTTATGCGTTATACCTAGGTTGCATTATTTTGCATCCCCTCCGCATTGTTATGCGTTATACTTAGGTTGCATTGTTTTGTATCCCTCCCGCATTGTTATGCGTCACACTCAATTTGCATTGTTTTGCATCCCTTTCGCATTGTTATGCGTTATACCTAGGTTGCATTATTTTGCATCCCCTCCGCATTGTTATGCGTTATACTTAGGTTGCATTGTTTTGTATCCCTCCCGCATTGTTATGCGTCACACTCAATTTGCATTGTTTTGCATCCCTTTCGCATTGTTATGCGTTATACCTAGGTTGCATTATTTTGCATCCCCTCCGCATTGTTATGCGTTATACTTAGGTTGCATTGTTTTGTATCCCTCCCGCATTGTTATGCGTCACACTCAATTTGCATTGTTTTGCATCCCTTTCGCATTGTTATGCGTTATACCTAGGTTGCATTATTTTGCATCCCCTCCGCATTGTTATGCGTTATACTTAGGTTGCATTGTTTTGTATCCCTCCCGCATTGTTATGCGTCACACTCAATTTGCATTGTTTTGCATCCCTTTCGCATTGTTATGCGTTATACCTAGGTTGCATTATTTTGCATCCCCTCCGCATTGTTATGCGTTATACTTAGGTTGCATTGTTTTGTATCCCTCCCGCATTGTTATGCGTCACACTCAATTTGCATTGTTTTGCATCCCTTTCGCATTGTTATGCGTTATACCTAGGTTGCATTATTTTGCATCCCCTCCGCATTGTTATGCGTTATACTTAGGTTGCATTGTTTTGTATCCCTCCCGCATTGTTATGCGTCACACTCAATTTGCATTGTTTTGCATCCCTTTCGCATTGTTATGCGTTATACCTAGGTTGCATTATTTTGCATCCCCTCCGCATTGTTATGCGTTATACTTAGGTTGCATTGTTTTGTATCCCTCCCGCATTGTTATGCGTCACACTCAATTTGCATTGTTTTGCATCCCTTTCGCATTGTTATGCGTTATACCTAGGTTGCATTATTTTGCATCCCCTCCGCATTGTTATGCGTTATACTTAGGTTGCATTGTTTTGTATCCCTCCCGCATTGTTATGCGTCACACTCAATTTGCATTGTTTTGCATCCCTTTCGCATTGTTATGCGTTATACCTAGGTTGCATTATTTTGCATCCCCTCCGCATTGTTATGCGTTATACTTAGGTTGCATTGTTTTGTATCCCTCCCGCATTGTTATGCGTCACACTCAATTTGCATTGTTTTGCATCCCTTTCGCATTGTTATGCGTTATACCTAGGTTGCATTATTTTGCATCCCCTCCGCATTGTTATGCGTTATACTTAGGTTGCATTGTTTTGTATCCCTCCCGCATTGTTATGCGTCACACTCAATTTGCATTGTTTTGCATCCCTTTCGCATTGTTATGCGTTATACCTAGGTTGCATTATTTTGCATCCCCTCCGCATTGTTATGCGTTATACTTAGGTTGCATTGTTTTGTATCCCTCCCGCATTGTTATGCGTCACACTCAATTTGCATTGTTTTGCATCCCTTTCGCATTGTTATGCGTTATACCTAGGTTGCATTATTTTGCATCCCCTCCGCATTGTTATGCGTTATACTTAGGTTGCATTGTTTTGTATCCCTCCCGCATTGTTATGCGTCACACTCAATTTGCATTGTTTTGCATCCCTTTCGCATTGTTATGCGTTATACCTAGGTTGCATTATTTTGCATCCCCTCCGCATTGTTATGCGTTATACTTAGGTTGCATTGTTTTGTATCCCTCCCGCATTGTTATGCGTCACACTCAATTTGCATTGTTTTGCATCCCTTTCGCATTGTTATGCGTTATACCTAGGTTGCATTATTTTGCATCCCCTCCGCATTGTTATGCGTTATACTTAGGTTGCATTGTTTTGTATCCCTCCCGCATTGTTATGCGTCACACTCAATTTGCATTGTTTTGCATCCCTTTCGCATTGTTATGCGTTATACCTAGGTTGCATTATTTTGCATCCCCTCCGCATTGTTATGCGTTATACTTAGGTTGCATTGTTTTGTATCCCTCCCGCATTGTTATGCGTCACACTCAATTTGCATTGTTTTGCATCCCTTTCGCATTGTTATGCGTTATACCTAGGTTGCATTATTTTGCATCCCCTCCGCATTGTTATGCGTTATACTTAGGTTGCATTGTTTTGTATCCCTCCCGCATTGTTATGCGTCACACTCAATTTGCATTGTTTTGCATCCCTTTCGCATTGTTATGCGTTATACCTAGGTTGCATTATTTTGCATCCCCTCCGCATTGTTATGCGTTATACTTAGGTTGCATTGTTTTGTATCCCTCCCGCATTGTTATGCGTCACACTCAATTTGCATTGTTTTGCATCCCTTTCGCATTGTTATGCGTTATACCTAGGTTGCATTATTTTGCATCCCCTCCGCATTGTTATGCGTTATACTTAGGTTGCATTGTTTTGTATCCCTCCCGCATTGTTATGCGTCACACTCAATTTGCATTGTTTTGCATCCCTTTCGCATTGTTATGCGTTATACCTAGGTTGCATTATTTTGCATCCCCTCCGCATTGTTATGCGTTATACTTAGGTTGCATTGTTTTGTATCCCTCCCGCATTGTTATGCGTCACACTCAATTTGCATTGTTTTGCATCCCTTTCGCATTGTTATGCGTTATACCTAGGTTGCATTATTTTGCATCCCCTCCGCATTGTTATGCGTTATACTTAGGTTGCATTGTTTTGTATCCCTCCCGCATTGTTATGCGTCACACTCAATTTGCATTGTTTTGCATCCCTTTCGCATTGTTATGCGTTATACCTAGGTTGCATTATTTTGCATCCCCTCCGCATTGTTATGCGTTATACTTAGGTTGCATTGTTTTGTATCCCTCCCGCATTGTTATGCGTCACACTCAATTTGCATTGTTTTGCATCCCTTTCGCATTGTTATGCGTTATACCTAGGTTGCATTATTTTGCATCCCCTCCGCATTGTTATGCGTTATACTTAGGTTGCATTGTTTTGTATCCCTCCCGCATTGTTATGCGTCACACTCAATTTGCATTGTTTTGCATCCCTTTCGCATTGTTATGCGTTATACCTAGGTTGCATTATTTTGCATCCCCTCCGCATTGTTATGCGTTATACTTAGGTTGCATTGTTTTGTATCCCTCCCGCATTGTTATGCGTCACACTCAATTTGCATTGTTTTGCATCCCTTTCGCATTGTTATGCGTTATACCTAGGTTGCATTATTTTGCATCCCCTCCGCATTGTTATGCGTTATACTTAGGTTGCATTGTTTTGTATCCCTCCCGCATTGTTATGCGTCACACTCAATTTGCATTGTTTTGCATCCCTTTCGCATTGTTATGCGTTATACCTAGGTTGCATTATTTTGCATCCCCTCCGCATTGTTATGCGTTATACTTAGGTTGCATTGTTTTGTATCCCTCCCGCATTGTTATGCGTCACACTCAATTTGCATTGTTTTGCATCCCTTTCGCATTGTTATGCGTTATACCTAGGTTGCATTATTTTGCATCCCCTCCGCATTGTTATGCGTTATACTTAGGTTGCATTGTTTTGTATCCCTCCCGCATTGTTATGCGTCACACTCAATTTGCATTGTTTTGCATCCCTTTCGCATTGTTATGCGTTATACCTAGGTTGCATTATTTTGCATCCCCTCCGCATTGTTATGCGTTATACTTAGGTTGCATTGTTTTGTATCCCTCCCGCATTGTTATGCGTCACACTCAATTTGCATTGTTTTGCATCCCTTTCGCATTGTTATGCGTTATACCTAGGTTGCATTATTTTGCATCCCCTCCGCATTGTTATGCGTTATACTTAGGTTGCATTGTTTTGTATCCCTCCCGCATTGTTATGCGTCACACTCAATTTGCATTGTTTTGCATCCCTTTCGCATTGTTATGCGTTATACCTAGGTTGCATTATTTTGCATCCCCTCCGCATTGTTATGCGTTATACTTAGGTTGCATTGTTTTGTATCCCTCCCGCATTGTTATGCGTCACACTCAATTTGCATTGTTTTGCATCCCTTTCGCATTGTTATGCGTTATACCTAGGTTGCATTATTTTGCATCCCCTCCGCATTGTTATGCGTTATACTTAGGTTGCATTGTTTTGTATCCCTCCCGCATTGTTATGCGTCACACTCAATTTGCATTGTTTTGCATCCCTTTCGCATTGTTATGCGTTATACCTAGGTTGCATTATTTTGCATCCCCTCCGCATTGTTATGCGTTATACTTAGGTTGCATTGTTTTGTATCCCTCCCGCATTGTTATGCGTCACACTCAATTTGCATTGTTTTGCATCCCTTTCGCATTGTTATGCGTTATACCTAGGTTGCATTATTTTGCATCCCCTCCGCATTGTTATGCGTTATACTTAGGTTGCATTGTTTTGTATCCCTCCCGCATTGTTATGCGTCACACTCAATTTGCATTGTTTTGCATCCCTTTCGCATTGTTATGCGTTATACCTAGGTTGCATTATTTTGCATCCCCTCCGCATTGTTATGCGTTATACTTAGGTTGCATTGTTTTGTATCCCTCCCGCATTGTTATGCGTCACACTCAATTTGCATTGTTTTGCATCCCTTTCGCATTGTTATGCGTTATACCTAGGTTGCATTATTTTGCATCCCCTCCGCATTGTTATG